GCAGGAAAGGGTAGAACAAATAAATGATTTTTCAATTTTTTTCATATAAGCTAATTGATGAGACGACGCAATCATGCTACAAAAACAGCCGGAGTAACCATTTCTCGGAACGTAAAACCAAAAATAAGTTATGAGTGAAGAAATTTGTTTTGGTTTTAAAACTTTGTTTACCTCAAACATTATGACGTCATAATGTGAGGAACATTATGACGTCATAATATATAAATATAATTGCATAGAATAAACAATATTATCTTAAAACGTTTGATTGTTATCTGTTTGGTTCGTTGGTTCTGTTTTGTTTATATCGATGTCCAATTATAGTTTATGTGTTATAAAATCGCAATTAAAGAACGGCTAAAAGTGCAAAAAAATTGTAAACTTATTTGATTTTGTATGTTGAGTTTGACCAAAATGCTTACACGAATTTCAAATAACTTTTAAAACAAGAAGAAATAAAACAAATACGATATTTGGATTTACTACTCAACCAATTTCGTTTCAATAAACAATAGAATTATAAATAAGCTTCAGAAAATCAAAAAGTCCTGGCTTACTTGAGAAGAATTTAAATTGTAAATATACAACATCTGTTTAAAAAAAAAATCATGAAATTTAATGAATCAATCAAAATGCCGATAACACATTTCAGTAAAATTTTTAACGATTGTTCGTTGAAGTTTGTACAGAGCAGAAGCCTGTGTTGGTGCGATTTTTATGTGGATGCTTCAAGAATCTGCCGTCAATGGCTGGATGGATGGATGAGCGGATGGATGGATGGATGGGCGGTTAAAGCGGATTTTCTACGCATGACTAGTTGCGATCATTCACGTTCAAATTACTTCTATGTTTGTGTGTGTTTTTGTTTGTTTTTTTGTTTGTTTGTGTGTTTGTTTGTGTATTTGTACTTAACAATGTATGCGTTTGTTTGTCTAGTTGTGCAATCTTTATACCTTTGTGTCGGGTTTGAATGATTTTTTTCATTTTTATAGTATATTATTTATCTTAATTTGTAATCAATTATATTGTTTTTGATTATTAATCTTTTTTTTGCCCTTTATATTTCTTTTATACTTCCATATTGATACAGGTTTTATCACTACCATTATATAACCATTTACACTCATTTCATATTTCCATTTCATCTGCATACGTCACCAACATTCTTTTTCGTGTTATTTTATTCTACTCAGCTACTAAATGCAACTCCCCTACTCATTATATTCATAATTTAATTCTCATTGTTTCGTACCTTGCTTGTTGTTTGTTACTCTCCCCTTTCGTTTGACGGAGTTCGATTTACAGAATAAAAAATAACTCTCACAGCTGATGAACTCGACGATTTTGTCGATTATGTGGCTGAAGATGGAGGCACTGAAAGTGTGGATTGGACTACGAAATTTCGCCCGAGTTCAGTGTTAAGGTTTTCATATAAAGAAAAATATTTCACCTTACAAGAATTAGAAGAATTTAGCTATAAAAAGGTCATTAACTTTACAATTTTTAAATAATCCCCTCACCAAAAAAATTTGGACACGCCACTCTACACATCACATGTGCATGTTTGCGAGCCTGTGTGTATATGTATATATCTGCATGTCTATTCGCAGAAGGTTTATCTGTCATGTTCGGTTTTGGATGAAATTTTTCCCTGACTCCCGTTTTTTCTTAAACTTTGCAGCAGATTTTTACTTTGACATCAATTTATCATCCTATTTTAAAACGAATTTCTGATGTGGATGAATGTGTGTAGATGTGTATTAGAGCCCCAAGCTGGTAACTACAAAGCGGTTTCAAACCCCATTACCGATAAAAATCAAATAAAACATTATCAAAACTCTGTGGATTTTGCAGTTTGCGGATTTTGTTTGTGCGGTTTGCCGCGGATGCGGATTCAAGTGCGTTATTTATTTAAATTTTCAATTTTTAAAAATTTTCAGATTAAAAAATTTTGTTTTTACGTTAGCTGGCATATATGTACGTGTGTGAGAATGTATATGCTTTAATTGCCATAGCTGAGTCTCTCTAGAGTCCACGTTGATAAAGCCAAGCGAGCAGCTTCTACTAATTACTTCAGCAGATTTGAATAAAGTTAGTTGGCTTACTTACGAAATTGCATGGGTTTTAACAAACAACTAACACAAAAGACTAAAAAATATTTTTTAAACAATATAATTGAATCGAATTATTTAATTTAAAATTACCGTTGCCAATTTAATTAAAAATATAGCTTTTTGTTTAGAAAACAGAGCGGCTTACTGAAGCCATGGTGGGCTTACTTATGAAATTGCATGGGTTTCAACAAACAACTAATACCAAATATATATTTGACTCAATATGTTTAAAACATTGTAATTAAATCGAATTAATGAAAATATTGCAATTTCGTAAGTAAGCTAACCTATGGTTTTGTTAAGCGGTAGGTTAGCCACTGTGTTTTCGAAACGAAGAACAATATTTTCATTTAAATTGACAAAAATAATATCAAAATACATAATTCAAGGTTTATTGGTTAATTAATTGATTGTTTGATTGGTTGGTTAAATGATTGATTGATTGATTGTTTGGTCAGTTGAACAATACTATATAACTAAACTGATGATGGCAGTCGATGGCGAAAAGAGCTTTTCTGTAGTAATAACGTTATTAATCATGTTCTGTCAAAAATGTCAAATATTAAAAGTTTTTTATTTAACCTTAATAAACTTCAACAAGATGATAAAAGTCTCGTTAGAAAAATTGAGAAACTCAACTACAAATTGAATAATGCCGAAAACGCAGTGATCTTTATAAAAAATTGTATTTATGATAGTCTAGACCCTATATATATATATATATATATATATATATATATATATATATATATATATATATATATAACATCTTTATAAATATTAAATATATAAAGGAATTGCTTCTTCGAGTTCCTCATCGTCGTTCATCTTGTGCTTGTTGTTCTAACCGATGTTATTTCAATTATTAAATTAGAAATTTTTTAAATTGAAAAATGTCTTCTCAGCAGATTGTCTGCTGTCTGATTATTATAATTATATTGTAAATAGATTGCCTTCTGGTGTTGTTATCTTCTAATTTTAAACATGAGATTAAGACGACCGATTTAGGTTGTCTTTTCGCGGCAGCGGTGCGGATGCGGTTTAGAAGAATCTTCTCTGTTTGGGGCTCCAATGTGTATACATAATGATGTATTAATGTATATGACTCACTTTTTCAGTTTTGGACTTATTTGACAGGTAATTTATAAAATCAGACATGGCCAACAGCCCGTTTTGCGTGTCAAGTATTATTATAAAAATGACGACATGAAATTCATGTCACAGACAAAGTAGAAAAAACAAATTAATCAGGAATAATAAAATGTTTTAAAAATTTAAGCCTCTTTCAATTTCATCGGCAGAACAACTACCTTTCATTCACAGCATACACTTTTTAAGATTATGTATGAATTTTATTTGAAAGTTATGGTAAATCAAAGTTAATGTTATGTTGCAAATTTTGATGTTGGATAAATTTTAGTATTTAGGCTCAAGAAACTGAGTATTATGTCAATCTAGTATGGAACTACCAGCTCATTTTAATTTATCAGAGCCACATATAATATTACAAATCGCTATAATGACGTTCAGTAATATATAATATTACAAATTGTTCGATTAAAGATATAATTTTTCAAAAAAGCTGGGATTTTCATTATCAAATCAAACATTTTCTTACTTCGGGGATATGAGTAATACATGGAACTACTAAAAAACTACCAGCCTAATTCACTATGTATAACTTGTAACAATAATCTTAAAGTTTATATATATATATTATCTTGAATCGACTAAACAGTTATAATTATTTGTTACTGAATTCGATTCAAAGTTCAATATTTGGGAATGTGGCGCTGATTTAGCGAGGTAATTTTTTTATTGCACTCAATCTCCGAAACATGTTATGTATAAATTGTTAATAATAAAAATCCAAGCTTTTTTGATATATGGTATCTTAAATTGAATCGACCAAATAGTTATCAAGCTATACTCTATAATTCGATGTTAGTACCATTTACTAAACCATCTAACAACGATCTTTATTATTTTACCCATTAAATAAACTTATCTCTTGTCAAGCGTTTTACATTTTTGTTTTTTTTTAATTCAATATCATTTGTAAAAAAAATTACCCAAAAATTAGTTTTTCTTTTTTTTAATATTTTGGCTGTTGTTTACATTATACGGCCACTAAGCAACGAACAAGTAAGCAACTAACAAGTTGCACTATGGGGATTTAAACTTTTGACTAAATAAATATAGCTGGAAAAACCAGTTTTCCCGGTTATTTCGAAGTTACCTCACTGAATGGTTTGTTTGTGTATTGATCGTTTGAGTTTTGCTATACTTTATGGTTAAAATAATAATTATTATTAATTAATTAATATAGGCATCTTATTTAGTTAGATGTTAGTTAAAGGTTTTTTTGATCTTAAAATAAACAAACAACTATATAATTATAATTTATAATTAAATAAAAAAAATAATGAAATAATAATAAATAAATAATAACTGTTTCTACTTTTCAAAATAGGAGGACGAATACAAGCTACTGCTAAATCATACAACAGACACATATAAATATGAAAACTTCTTCAATTGGAAATGCCACACCCACACCAGGTTTTTATTAATTAATCACTTCATTATTTTTAAATTTAATTATCTTATAGTACTTATCTTATATATTATATATGAATTAAAATATTAAATGTAAAAACAAATTTGTTTCAATTTAATTTTATTAATAATTAATCTATCATCTGATCAATAAATGAAGGTTTTAATTTAGCTGCACTCTTAAAAACTTGTGAAATACACTTCTAAATTTATTTTTGTTCTTTAAAATTTTATTTACTAATTTCAAATAAAATTATATAAAATAATTTTTTAACTAAATTCTATAAAAATTCAGTTATCCATATTGATGAAAGAGTCACTTTAAAGATGGAAACCAGTTCCTTATCTTTGTATGATTCAAGAAATGATTATTCAGATGAGATTTGCAGATTGAAAACTTTCCTGCTTGCACCAAAACACATTCATCTTGTTCAATATAAATTAAGTGCTAATGGGTTTTATTTTACTGGTAGAAATAATTTGATCAAAAACTATTTCTCTTCAAATGTTCTTCCTTTTGAGGAAAATTCTAAAGTTAGTGATCACCAGTTCAGTGTTGAGTTTCAACAGGCACAGGCTAAGCACAGGAATGGCGGTTTGATTTTTTTATTGCTTGTTGTTTATTTAGTTAGTTTAAGTTTGTAATTACTATTTTGATATTTTGAAAGTATGTTTGTATATATGTGTTAACAGTAAACAATAATTTAGAGATCTCTTAGAAGCTTTATGTAGCTTTAAATTAAAGCATTTGGATGAAAATTTAGTTAAGATTTCTTAAAAGTTTAAATTAATTTTATTTTAAAAACTTGGTGATAAATTGATTTAAATTTGGATTAAAAATTAAAATTTTGGAAAAATTATTAATGTGTAAACTATTTTTTAAAGTAATTAATTAATTAAATTTTTAAATTTACTTGCCCACAAAAAGTTAAAAGTAAATATTGACGGAGTTGGCATGTTTTCATTTTAGAAATAAATGTCTAAAAATTTTCACAAACTTTTTCAACGTAAATAAAATAGCTCGATTTATTAGTTGTTAATTACAAGAATGCGTTTTAATTTTTTAAACTGAACTTTTTCTTCATTTTAATCTAGTTTATTTTATTTCATTTGTACGGTGTTAAACCTAGGAAAACAGGTGCCGGAGCAACAGGGTCAGCCGGCACCCCCTCAATCTACCTCCCATATATCTATAGTCCATATTTACATAACTACATAAGAACAGTTAAGTGTGAGCAATAAAAAACTTGTATAGAAAACAACATGGATCAATTTCCACAAACAATTTGTGGTATTTCATTTCAATGACAACGTCAACATTAATTGCTGTTAAAAATTTTGGAATAAAGTATTAATGAATTGTTGTAGTTAAAAATTTGTTCATATCCTTTTCGGCGTCCCTCCTTCGTACATATTGCAATATTATTATTATTATTATTCATTTTATTATTATTAATTGTTGCAGTAGTAGTAGTAGTGTTAGTGGCGGTAAAGTATTATTATTTTTATTATTTACTATCGTAAGTAAACTTATCTCAGCTTAATCTTAATTACTAACAGTTTTTGTATATAAATTTGTTTTGGTTTCTGCTTTGACTGTTTATGAAATTTGATTTTTTGCATGAAATTTTCATTTCAATAACTTCTGTGAATGGCATTTGCTTTTTTTCTAAACTTCCATCGTATGCTGAGTAAAAATTAGTAGATGAAAGGGGTGTTGTATTGTTAGATCAGAACAACTATCTGATCACACAATATAATAGTGCATGAAAAATAGGTTGACAGGTTCTTCATTTTTTGTATATCTGTTTTCTGTTTTGTATGCCTGGGGGTCTGTTCTAGTTTCTGTCTGTTTTTTTTATTTCACAATAGAATCTATTAACGAAATTATTTCACAACAGAAATAAATGATTTTGTTTTATGTAATATACAATTAATTTTCGTTCTTTTTATCTCACGTGTGTTTCGACATTTAAAAAACCTTTTGGAACATAATGTACATAATGGATTTTTTTGGCTGTTTAGACTGGATTGTTTAACTGCACATAAATCTTAGTTATCTATTCTATCTATGTTGAAAAATTTATTGAAATTTTAAACTTATTAAAATAAAACAACGACAGAACCTGATGATATTAGGTACACTCGTAAGGATATCCCAACAATTTATGGTTCCGGGAATAATTTCATGGATGAAAATGTTCGCCTGAGAAGTTTCGTGCTTGCTCCTCCACATTTGTTCAAACTGAGAGATGGTCTGGTTAGGATGAGGTTTTATTACACTGGAGATGGGAGCAAACTAAAATGTTCCTCCTGCTCTTATGTTGTTTCAGTTGGTGACCAATCTGCATCAGCGAGTATGGTTGCTGATCTGAAACACGAATGCAGATATGTGAGGTGAGAGTCTTTCGAAGTTGACAAAACATCGTAAGTTTTTTAATGAAATGAACTTTTTTAACTTAACAACAAAATATTTTATAAAATTTTGACTCCAGTTGAGCAGAAGAACAAGGAGATGAAAAAACTTTGGCTGTGTGGAGTGGAAAAAGTACAGTCACTGTTCCTACCATGCTGTCATTTGGTCTGTTGCCAAGTTTGCGCCGAATCATCAAATTGCTGCCTTTATTGCAACAAAAATGTTTCACATACTTTTCGTATCTTCTCTTCATAAAAAAAACATTCTGTATATTATTTATCTTTCTAGTTATTTTATCCTAAAAAGTCTTTATTAACACATCAATAAGAGTCGAAATTTATAATTTGATTACCTTTATTGTTGTACACTGTCAATACAGCTTTTAGTAAGTCTTTCAAAACTTTTGTACAAATTTTCACTCTGAAACATCTTCCGAACCGTTATACAATTTGTCATCTTATGTTATCTTAATTGATATCGACAAATGAATACTCTCTAGCATTCGAGTTTATGTGAACAAACGTTTTGGGAATAATATTTAACCTCACTGCTCAGTAGAAATTTTCTAGAAGGCGAGATGGTCTGATGGTTAAGACGGCTGGTCCTGCTCTTGTGGTAGTTGGGCTCGAGTGCGGAGAGATCCCCGCCAATTATGTTTGCGATGCGTGAATCCTTGCATACTCTGCTTGTCTGTCTGCCTGCGAATTTTCGGTGCCTCTTATGAGAATTAATCATGAAAATTAAAAATAACGATAGGTTGAGTTGTAACACATGCTTTTGAGAAAACGCAATTGCCATGTAGATGCGGTATTTAATGCATTAATAATGCTTTAGAATTTAAATTTTAAACAGTAAAATGAAAATTACCTGTCAGTGTCACCGATTCACCCAAATATTTATTTCTATTCTTATTTAAAATTTCTGACAGCACCAATAATTTGCTTCGCAATAGATATCTAGTGGCGGATTTAGGTGGAAGCAGTGAGCAGTATTTTTGCACAGAAGAAGCTCTGTTTTAAAACAAAAATCGGCCGAATGTTGACGTGACAACCAATGAAAGGTCGCACTATCACAAATCTTTGGCCTCCCGTCAAAATTTAAAAAAAATTTAAAAATTCAAATATTTTCAAAATTTTGGCCGTCAGAGTTGTGTAGATCCGCCACTGTAGATATCCTCGTGTGAAGGTTGTTTGATGCATTTATTATTCAATATTTATTGCTAAAGAGATGAAACCGTCAAATTAAATTTAATTGAAATTAAAAATTGGATAAATTGCTCACTCAATATTTATTTATTTGTTCAAATCAAAATCAGAAGCCGTAAAAACTAGTGAAAAGAAGATTTAGTAATTTTGCTTCATATTTTCCTGTTTTTATGGCGATGTTAATAGCAACCCGCTACTACTACTACGCATTAAGTGCTATCAAAAGTGACTCACAGGCGTGTAAACTACGGAATTTATTTTACGCTGCTATGCTACGCAGTTTAAACTGTCAATAAAAAAGGGTCTTTTTCAAAAATATGTTAATCGTGAGAAATAAAATTTTGTTTTAAAATTGAAGATTAAAGGTTAAAAAATGATTAAAGGTCATTCTCTTTTGCGCACTTGATTTAGGGGTATCCACGACAAACACAGACTTTGAATATTGATACGCGTGAAGACCACGCTTCACAGTTATCACACACGTTGCAAATGATAAGCGGGGATCTTCTTGCATTTGAATCCAGTCACTGCAACACTACAGCAGGACCAGATCAGACACCTTTAACCATTATCATGCCGCTCACCAAAATTACTCTGAAATCTTTGAGAAACTTTACAAACAAGTGCGTTTATGTTATCTTAATAAAAATATTTTAATTAGTTAAATGGATAAATAAATAATTTGTTAATTAATTGTGAATTTTGTGAAGTAACTTGAATACTTTTAATTACTTAGATCAACCCATTTTTTCTGTTGATTACTAAAGAGTTAGTTATACCGATGTTAAATATATTTTGTTATAACCACCGGGATAATAAAATTGCGCTACATTATTGTTATCTTGGTTTTTTGTTAATTTTGCTATATTTGTAATCTTTGGATTGTGAGAATATCTGTTATATTAGCGAGTGAATAGTCGTGTTTAAAGTAGTTTCCAGCAGAGAAAGCGCAAATGTGATTTATGTAGTTACTTGGAATAGTTTAGTATTATTCTAGTACTATTGCTTCTATTACAGTTGGCATTCAAATAAACGTTCAACAAAGTTTGCGTTTGGAGCAGTTGTGTTCATATAAATCGAAAATCGGAAAACTTGACGATCGCTGAAAGCTACAACACTGGTGTTGGAAATGCCTATACCTAATAGTTATAATACATATGATAATATATAACACACACGCCTATGATTTCTTGCTAACATATGAATATCTTGGAATTCTCCTGGTTATATAAAACTTGTAGCTCTGTATGTATGTAGGTTTATATGTATGTATGTATGTATGTTTGTATATACATACGCGTGTGTGAGATTATATTGTATATATGTATGTATATATGTATATTGTGTATATATATATATATATATATATATATATATATATATATATATATATATGCATGTAAAATTATGTCCTTATATAAATAGTCAAATGTTTTTGTTTTTGATTAAATTTATTATTTATTGGAATCATAACTATTAGTTTTTGTTTATTAATTATTAAACGTATTAATTTAGATATTTTGAATTATCTGTTTATTAAATAAAATATTAATTAAGTACAGATTGATTAACTTTAACGTTACTTTTTCGTAGTTCATCTAGAAAGAAATCAGTGGAAAAAATATTGAATTCAATTGAGAATAAAATGTATAATTCAATTAAATATAATAATAACTTAATATAAATCAAATAAGTATAATATAAATAACTTTAAGATACAAAAATATTATATAAATAAATATAATATATCAATAATTATAATAGAAATAATATAAAAATGATCTCTGATGAAGCTTCCACACTCTTGTATTCTGACAGAAAGTCGAGCGTTCCAATTGTCGAATCGACATATGGAAATAAGAAAAATTATTCAGACTCAATCTCCAGATTGAAGAGTTTTGTCTTTTGCCCGCTACATTTACATGGGTTGAGGAAGGATTTGGTGGAGAGAGGTTTCTACTACACAGGTGTTGGCTACTGCATCAGATGCTACGCCTGTTTTAGTGAAATAACGTTTAATGAAAATCAGACAATGGAAAATTTGAGTGAACGACACGGCAAAAGATGCAGGTTTTTTTTCCGTAATAGTTCCACAACTCCAACCAAGCATGTCCAAGAAAAATTTGATGAAATAGACGGATTGGCCAAAAGTGACGACGGTCCTTGTGGGACTAATATAGAAAGTCTTATTAAAAGTAATTCATTAATTTCACTTTTCATTTTAACCAAATATCCATTTTAAAGAATCTATTTAACAAATATTTACAATCAGGACTCGAAATGGAGAACAAAAAGCTTAAAGAAATATGGTTATGTCGAAAGTGTAGAGTCGAAGAAGTTCAAACGTTATACCTCCCTTGTCGGCATTTCATCTGTTGTCAGACATGCGCCGAAGAGTCCAGTCACTGTCTCGACTGCTCTGAAAAAATTCTGGGAACTGTTCGAGTGTTCAAGGAATAATATTTTGATAAATTTTAAATCTTTTACTTTACAAGTTTATTCAGTAAATTTCAATGAAACATATGATTTCTGCTTAGTCATTTTGGGATGATGCTTAATTTAAATTTAATGATAAAACATTTTTTTAATCATTTTGTCATAATGACTTTGTCAACAAATGTTTATTTATATAAGATGATTAATCTTAAGTTATGTTATATACGCTTTCGCGTAATTTACGTCTTCAATAACAAATCAGAGGCAATATTTTTGAAATTTTTTCGTAAATACGAGTAAATGTTATTTGGTAATTTCCTATTAGTATTTATTACTAGCTGTTTATTTATTAATATTTCCATTTAAAGTTTTTGAGAATTTATGAACGCAACCATGAAAATAATTGAAATAAAAAAAATTAACTAAATCAAGAAACAAAAGCCATGATTAATAATCGCATTTTGAATTGTATTTCAAAATATATTTGTTTGATATTTACCATTGTCATATTGTAGAATAGCGAAAAACTAGAAGATAAAAAAAATTCATATGTTATTTTATATAATTTTACAATTTTCATTTTGGTATTTTTCAGAGCTAGAACTACATAATGCACGTGAATATAGGCGATCAATGAATTTTACACATAAAATTTCATAAGACATCTGATAGATGAGGATTTTTTTGCATTAAAACCCGGTTACTGCAACAACGTTGCCAAGTACCTTAACCATTAAACCATGTTTCAAGTCACTATTTGATCTGTCAGTCATGAGTCACATTTGCTATCAAATCATTAGATTTTTTGTTTTTTTTTTTATTTTGAACAAAAGTAGGTACTTTAATAATAATTGCAATTGAATAAAAAGCATTGCAAAATTACATTCGTTTCAAATTAAAATTATTTTAAAAGCCTTGCTATCCGTCTATACAATCACACCACATAAATAAGATCAAATAGTTCATATAGGGAATTTGTTTAACCAAGACCTTTCTTTCCGTGATTTGTATTTATTGTTATAAGAAACTTTTTTAATTTTACTGTCTTCATTACTAATTGATTTGATTAACCATAACAATAAAAACAAATCACAGGAAAAAAGGCCAGGGTTATACAAATTTTCTATATAAACTGCTACAGGTGCTGCAGATGATTGAAAAATCGAAATAGATCCTATACCTACACTCGAAAATAAATTGAAAATTGTATATTATTCTAACTTTAATAAAATAAATAATGACGACAAAAGTTTTGTTAGAAATATTGAGAAATGTAATAAAAAACTATCCAACGCTAGAAATTCAGTAGATTTAATAAATCACTATAAAAATGTAATAAATTACTACATGTATGTAGAAAAGAAACTGGAATATAACGAACGTAAAGCGAGTCTTCAGAGAAAGAGTTACCGTCAACGAGTGTTTCAGCTCTCTAACTTCATGACACTCTCGAGGAACAGAGCCATATCCAGAGATCAGTTGGATGTCTCTTACTGGGCATAAAAATTTGCCTCGCTTTGAAATCACTTTCTTTTATACTGAAAAATTGTGTAAGCGTGCTAGACAGTTTGCATATAAACATATCACGATGTGAGTTATATCTACGAGCCAAGTAATACGCTAAGCCAAATCTGGAAGTGTTGAGTTATCAGAAGCCTTACGTGCACACAAGCTCGTTCGTTAACCATTCAAACTCGCATTCTTTTTTCTTGCTACATAACAGTATCTAGTAAGACGCCTGTTCAACTGTATGTCCTATGTTCTTCATACAACTCGATCGCCTTTTACCTGCCAAACCCAAATCCTTCAAAAAGCTGTACACTGAAAATCCAACAACACTTCTTGCACTGACCTCAACTGCGTACAACAAACACCTTAACACACGTTGTTCTACCTCACCAACAAGCTCTTCATACATGGCTGTTTTTATAGCGTAGCTTGCTGCTATATTAGCCTCATACGGTACACCCATACTCTCTGCTGATACCGACTGTACAACCACGTTGAGTCTTGCTTCTGTATCTTTTATGAACGAAGGGTAGTTCCTCATGCTCTCCAAAATCTGCCATGACCTCCAATCTCAGCCATTATCAAAAATATTTCTTCCGTTGCAAACAAAAATCATTTTTAGTGGTTGGCTCCAGCTCACCCTCTCTTAGAAAACGGATTTTTTTTTAGTTTACACGGCGGCCTTGAATTTGTCTCGTAATGAACATTGGAAATAAGTTTCGCTAGTACTTTCAATACTTTGTTGTGCTTCCATGTATAACGTCCATGACTGAGTGGGTATTTGCAAGAAGCCATTACGTGGGCCACCGTTTCCATTTCTCCACAAAAGGTACACAAAAGCTACACTACAAAAGCTTCTCCTGCCACTTTCCATCTAGCAAGATTTATTTCTTTCTCTGCGTTCCATTTTTTCACTGTTTTTAACGATGGCTTCACTTTTTTTACACATTCGTCAGCTGAGTCGTTTAACATCAGTTGACACCTAATTTTTGCCACCTTGAATTCTTATATATATATATATATATATAAACACACAAATATATGCATATATATTTATATTTATTTATATACATATATGTATATAAATTTCTCTCATGGATTCACTTGCCATGCGTTTGCCGACGACATTCAGGTTCTAGTCACTGGTCCTACATATATATATATATATATATATATATATATATATATAACTTTAGTGAGAAAAATGAAAAATCGAAAAAACGAACTACAAAAACTTTAGTGAGAAAAATCGAAAACGATAGCGGCAGTGGTAATGATGGTGGTATTTGCGATTGTGATGATGGTTGTAATGGTAACGATAAAAGTGGTAGTAATGATCGTGAAGTTACCAAAGAAGACTCAGAACTAAAATTGCAATTAGGTTTGTTGAACATTAGGTCAATTATGAATAAGATCAAAACTGTTCGCGATTTATTTTCTAATAATTTTGATATTTTTGTTGTTACGGAATCCTGGCATGGGTCGTCCGATAATTTATCACTTAGACTCACTCTGCCACCTGATTTTGTGTTCATAGATTTTCTGAGGCCGACCGACCCTAACCATGGTGGAATAATTGTATTTTTTAAAAATTATTTTAAATTTTATAGAATTCCGCTGCCTTTATTTAAGACGTTTGAGGCTATAGTTGTGAAATTTTATTTCAACAAAGTAACTATTGTTGTTTTTGCAATTTATTGTCCTGGGTCTTCTATTCCATCACCATTGTTTTTTGATGAGTTATCATCTGTTTTTGATCAAATATTGCTTTTAGCAAATTATGTTATTTTTATTGGAGATGTGAATATTCATGTTGAACTTTTGAACGACCCTAATGCATTGAAATTGTTTGAAATTTTTGATTTATATCAATTGATAAATAGAATAAATGAACCAACCCACGTTCATGGTGGAACATTGGATTTAATTGCCTCTAGTTCTGACCTTCCCTCACAATTTTTTTCCGTTGAGCCACCAAATGTGTATTCAGACCACAGTTTAATTAAAATTTGTTTCCCTATTTCTGTTCCCACACCTCAGAAAAAATGGAAACTTACTCGTTCATGGAATCAAATTGACGAAAATCAATTTTCTTCACTAGTTCTCGAATCACCTATTTCAGGGCCGTTCAATTCATCTTCCGCTGATACCCTGTTGGATTTGTTTAATTCTGAAATCGTGAGAATTGTGGATATGGTTGCTCCTTGTCGTTATGTCAAATCTACTCATGTGTCATCCGCCCCTTGGTTTGACTCTGAATGTCGTTCATTAAATCGCAATTGTCGAAAACTGGAACGATTGTATAGGAAAATGAAAAATGATATTAATCGAAATGCATGGCGCTTAGCGTTAAAAGAAAAAATACAACAATTTTCCCAAAAAAGAAACAAATTTTGGTCAAATCAAGTTGATTCGTTTAAAAAACAACCAAAAAAATTGTGGAATATCCTCGACAAAATTTTATCTAAAAATCACAAAATTCAAATGATTTCTCCCCCAATGATTTATTGACATTTTTTGTGAATAAAATCAATAATATTCGTAGCACGACTATAGAAAATACTAACAAACCAATCCAGTTTGAGTATGTCTCTAGGGTCGTCTCTCCTGAAGCAATTGTTAATCTTTCAGATTTTCAAATGTGCACGCCAGATGAATTGCGTAAAATAGTTTGTGACTCCCCTGGCAGTTCTTGTTCTCTTGATCTGATTCCAACATACATATTTAAAAAATTTATAGATCTTTTTTGCCATTTTTGACATTTTTTGTCAACCAATGTTTATCAACTGGCAGTTTTCCCAACCCTTTGAAACATGCTATTGTAACCCCACTTCTAAAAAAATCAAATTTGGACGACAACGTTTTATCAAATTACCGTCCTGTCTCTAATCTTTCATTCATTTTTAAAGTCATTGAACGAGTTGTTATCAAACAATTGTTACAGCATTTAAACAAAAACAATTTGTTGCCAAAGAATCAATCCGGCTATCGTCAATATTTTTCCACAGAAACTGCACTCATTGATATTTTCTCCCAGTTGTTCCCTTCAGTTGACAGTCAATGCGTTTCTTTTTTAGCATTACTTGATATGAGTGCTGCATTTGATTGTGTCGATCAAATATATAAACTCTCCACAAATTTTTTTCTCTCTGATTCAGTCTTATCGTGGTTCGCTTCCTATCTTTTAGGCCGCACCCAGCAGGTTTCTTACAACAACACCCTCTCCGACATAAACAAACTATCGTTTGGTGTCCCCCAGGGATCTGTGTTGGGACCTCTGTTGTTTCTTATGTACACTGCTGATGTTTTTGATATCATTCAAAAATATGAGTTCAGCTCCCACGCCTTTGCTGATGATATTCAGTTATTGGTTTCTTGTCCTGTTGATTCGATTGATGCTTCTCTGAATGAACTGACTGACTGTCTCATCGAAATTGGATCTTGGATGAGTATGAATCAGTTAAAGTTAAATCAATCTAAAACACAAATATTACCGGTTGGTTCTTGGCAGCAGCTGTCGAAGGTCAACATTTCATCGATCAGTGTCGGCAATGACATCATTGAATTTTCCACATCTGTCCGTAGTCTTGGAGTTATTATTGACTCAAACTTAAAGATGGATTTACATATTAATAATTTAGTGAGGGTCTGCTCCAACCAACTCCGTTTATTACGCAATGTCAAAAAATCACTAAACACGTCTGTTCTTCAAACCTTGGTTTCCTCTTTCGTCTTTTCCAGACTAGACTACTGCAATGGCCTTTTTATGGTGTTACCAAAAGGTCTTTTTCAAAGCTTCAGTCAATACAGAATCGTGCGGCCAAGCTAGTTTTGGGTGGTTCGTGGTTCGATCATGTTACGCCTATTTTGAACAGGTTGCACTGGTTGAGGGTTGAAAAACGTGTTTCCTTCAAGTTGGCAGTTTTGATGTTTAAATGTGTCAATAATACAGCACCTCCCTACCTCATCGATAGATTGGAATCATACAAATCTCATTTTTCAAAATATTCCTTTCGATCAACCGAGCGCAATTTATTTTTTATCCCGACCACAAAGTTGGTGACGGGTTCCCGCAACTTTGCGGTTTTTGGCCCGATTGTTTGGAATGGTTTACCTCCATACTTACGTGACCATAACCTATCATATTTACAATTTCGAAGTCAACTTAAAACTTATTTATTTGCACAATGAATGTCCGTCTTATTTGTCTATGATTTAGTAGCGCTTTTGAGATTCAACAATAAAAAAGCGCTGTATATAAATTTCCGTAATAATAATTATAATAATATATATTCCATTATATATATATATATATATATATATATATATATATATTCCATTATGTTATATTACGATGTTTTTCCTTTATTTAAACTGACAAAACATTTTACGTTCTAAGGCGTAATTTCAAAATATAATTAGTTGATTAAATAAAACATTACGATTTTTTTAGAATAAAGATTAAACTGATTTTTTATTTCCATCTAACATTCTTCTTGGCATTACACACCTCATTCCAGCTGCAGCAGGTGCACCAGGAGTTTTTCACAAGAGCCTACAGCTACTTCGTTGTGGAAGATGAAAAAACTGGAGTCTGTTTTGATGAAGCTATGGATGGAGTGATCAAACTGGATGGAGTTGCTAACGCTGGAGCTTGCATTCAAAAGTGCATGGTTAAGATCACGCACTCGTTTTTGATTTCATAAACATTTGAACAAATAAAAAATAAAACTTTTTGAAACTCATTTAATAGGTAACGACCAACATGGATCAATTACAAGGAATCGGTGGGGTCTTGTCCGTGCGTTCCTAAGATGAACGATCTGTGTAACGTAACCACTGATCTGACAGGAGGGTGTTTGGCTTTTGTCACTCACGGTATGTTGTGCTTCATGAAAAACTTTTTAAAATGATACTTCAAAAATATAAAAATACTCATTTTATGCCAAAATAGATTGTCCACCTCCCTTTAAATACATAATTGAATATCACAAATGTTATTTCGTACCTTCAATATGAAGCAGTTGGAGCGATTGGAACATATCTAGAGAGTTCTGCAATAATCTGCTCAAATCCCATCCCGTCGTGGTCGAGGATTTTATTGAAAATTTTCTCATTTCTTCTTACCTTCTCAATATCAAACGTAAAAAAAAATTTATTCATTTTTACAAATTTATTCAAACTCGGTGAAAATTTTATTCTAGATAAACTTTAAACTAATTTTATTTGGACAGAAAACAGAATAATTTATCACTAGAACAATTTATTTTTATTTTATTTAAATATTTTTAGTGGCCAAACTTGTTGTTATACCTTAAATAAGTACTTTGAAAATACTTCAAATTACTTATTTTAGTGGCAATATTAACTCATACTTTCACTGTTGTAATACGTTCTCCCCACACACTCTGCTTTCGACAGCATCGTATACAGCGTGGACGGCAATGCGTCGTACATTCATCAATGCTACTTTTGTCTCAAACTGGGAGCCATACCCTGGTGATGAATTTGAATACATATAATGAATTAAAAGAATTATTTCCATTGAAAACCCCTCTATTAATGACCAAATTTAAAAGATAAATTTAGTAGTTTATAGAAAATGTTAAAATTATTTCGCTAATATTTTTCTGAAAGATCGAATGTTTCCAGCCGATTTTAACAGATGGTGTGGCCATTGCCCAATAGGACTCAATGAATATGCTTGCATGATCTATGCTTCAGCATTTGAAGCTGTTTGGGAGTACCAGTGCTGGAACAAAGGAAATGTTCTGTGTGAAATTGACATTTATCAAACTTTAGGTTTGTGAAGTTTATTTTATTATGGTCGTTTAATGATGTAAAGACTCAAATGGAAAATTACGACGCGGCATTAAATTTTTTACTAGGCTAGTTAAACGTTTTAATATAATATTGTGCTTATTTTCAATTGTAATCACATTTTAAATATCTAAATACTTTTAGACATTTTTTTGGTTAACTTTTTATCTTTAATTTTTGTGTAAAGAGCTTTGTCAAAACGTAACAGACAACAATCAGATAATGCCATGAGTTATAAATTTTTTTTAACACAGAAAATTTAAGAGCAATCATTCTAGTTAGTTTTATCATATTGATGGCAAAAACAAGTATAAGCACATGCGCTATGCGTCTGTTGTTGCCACTTTTGAGAAACACAAAAGAGAGAATTGTAAAGAAAGACACTTACTCCGATATACTAATGTACAAACATTTCATCGCACCAGAGATAGTAAAATAAATAATAATTTTCATTACAACAAAGTTATGAGTTTGTGACATACGAATTTTTAAAAGTTCCATTTATTATACTATCATCCAACAATAATGGTGAATACCCTTTGTTGAATGTTGTTTTAGCTCCTATTTTTAAACTTGCACGCAATCAAATGCACACAGCTTCACGATTTTTTTATCTTTTTTTTATATTTAAACAAATTTTATCAAATTCTCTATTTTGAATTTAAAACATTAAGAAAAATTGTTTAGTTGTCATCAGACACATTTACCTTAAGGTTTTGTAACTATAGTTTATAAGAATTAAAAATTTTGATGAGGTTTAATTTTCTTGGATTTCATTGATTTTCGATACAGGAAACAAATATTATCCAATCAACAATCACATGCATGTTCATAAAAATTTGCAATGTATTACATAAAAAAAATCAATTCCTATCTTACCTGCATTCAGCATTTGTGGCGCCATACAGACTGCTGGCGATGCTTTATTAGAAAATTAATATTGTTTCCTTTGTCAGTGCTTAGTAAATCAATGTAAACATATCGAAATGTTTATTTTTAACGTTTATTATCTTAGCCTGCAATTTTTGAATTTTGTAATCTATGTCAAACATTGTCGCATAAAGGGGCAGTGATATTTATGCCTGTAATTTGAATATAATACATTTCATCCTGGCAAAGTTCGAAAGATATGATTAAATTTTTTTTCAATTTTTTATTTCTCCAGTTATCATAACTCAAGACTCTCTGTGTGGTTTGAAATTCTGTAGGAATATTTGTCCATCAATAATTTTCAAATTGATTTTTAACGAGGAATTTCATTGATTTGGTGGAATTTGTAAGATTAAATTTGTATTGCCATATTCATACATCAGGAATTTTGTCAGTAAGCTTTACACCCTGTCTGTACACTTTCGTTAGAAAAAAAACAAAAACTTATGAAAATTTCATCTATTGTGAAATCATCATTCAAAGCCTTTATTAGAGTATTTCAACTCTGAAAATGTGTTTGCGAACTATAATCGCGCCTATAAATTAATTAATTACTGACATCTAAAGATATTTATAGAATTTGTTCACTGCACAAACTTATTTTTCGTTGAGTTATCATTTTTGTTTACAATGCATATAAAGTGTAGTTGTTGATTGTTCAATGAATATTAAACAAAATGTTTTGGAAAAATTTTGGGTTATGAATTTTGTATGGCAAACTTAAAAGGTTATTGTTAAACTTACGAATATACGTTCGTGTGAAATTATTTCACCTTTAAATTTTCACTTTAAATAGTTTAACAAAAAAAATGCTTCAAATAATTTTCTGAAAATTAAATATTAAAAAACAAAGTTAATAACTTGTATCAATTTTAGAGTTTTGGTTTTTTTTTCGTTCATAAATCATCAAAAAACTGATAGTTTTAATAAAATTTAAATAGATTTTTATTTTTAAAACTTAAGTAGAAAAACATGTTATAAATCAGTAATATTAACATTGGAAATAAATTTTCCATAGAAAACAGATCAGCGGTTTGAACATTTGTCTCACAAACTCAGCAACAAAAGCTATTTCTCACTGCTGCCTAATCATACCTCTTTCCTAACTTCACTTCTCCTTTATAGCATTCCTCTTAAAGAAAGACATTAAATTCTATTTTCATTGAAAACTACAAAAAAGATTTATGCTTACTAGTCACATTTTACTCAACTAGTGATCGTTGAATATGAAAGGTCACTTTACTTAGTGATAGCTACTTGGATAAAAATAATTAATACGTAGCACATAAAACGATTATATATGATATACAAACAAAACACCAATGATATGATGAGTAAAATGACCAACTACTTTTTCCCCATAGCGAGTTGCGACACAGAAATTTCAAATTAGCGAGATCAATTGTTCTAATAGCGTCATCATAGTAGAAAATGTCAAATAACTATTGCATATATACTCTTAGACGTGTCACGACTCGGTCACAACAGGTTCCAATTTCTTTCAAGCATTTTACGCACATGCGATGACAGCAAGGCTGGGCCAAAACTTCAAACTCGTTGATACTGCAGTAGCAACATGTTCTCTCAGATCTCAATCTCTCGTTTTTTTTCAAAACTGTTGCGGTTGATAATTTTTTTGAACTGAATGTTAGTTACTTTTAAAATGTTGTTATTGATTGAAAAGTAACAGTTTACCAATTAGAAACGTTAAAAATTTTACATTTTCAAACATTTCATTTTAGAAAACCACTAAAATTGTTTTACAAACGTTTAGCAGTTTTATATTCAATGGTCTCTTTCCTTGGGCTAGCCTTGTCTTTTTCTTCTTCAACTGTCATGCTGTCTTCCTCCACGTTCGTCTTCTTATTTCTTTCAGTTGTCCCACATGCCTCATCGGGCTTATCACGTTGATCTGCCATCTGATCATTTACACTCCCATCTTCAACTTTCGTCGCCACCTATTTTACAAAATGTTGTTTTAAAGAAAGTGACAACAAAAATAATGTAAGATTTCAAAGTAGTAATTTCCAACATGAAACTCAATTTTTGCCAGGACAATACTACCCGATGTCGTCATTAAGATCTTTCACTGAGAAAGTCTAGTTTTTTAAAAGTATTAAGCTATGTTATGTTGTTGATAACGTGACGTGAACTGCATAAAAATAACCTGACAATCGTACGTAGAGTACATGCAAGCATTGCTCAAATTTAAGTTAAGGTTAGGCGATTCAGTGCACACGTGCAAATACAAGCGAGCAAACATTTGACACACGGATCATAAGATTTCGAATTTTGCACAGGCAGCGTTCGAACCTGCTCACTACGCAACAACATTAAAGTGAGACAAAGCAATCCTACCGCCTGGTGTTACTTGCTGCAAAAATAAAATTTATTTAAACTTTTTTTTCATTGCAGTACAATGAAATTAAATATTACATATTTATGAAAAAGAATAACAAAAACTTATCACTCAACTATTTTGATTCAGCATAACTTAGCACAAGAAAATTTAACATTTAGCATAACTCCATTTGCAATATGTGGAGTATTGCAGTGTACAACAATACCAAAAATATTATGAACACCTCTGCAATACATGCTTATTAATCTTCATGCATAGTTTGAGAAGCGAAAATTTCAAATGAAATCAAATGGAAAAAGAAAATTCTAACTTTGAACTGCAACATCGAGATGACAAAGCCAAGCCGGAATTTGTGTGCACTGGAATGAATGAGTGAGATCCTGAAGACTGAGCATAAAAGTTAGTATATGATTCAAGAATACTATGGGAAACTATCAGTGAACGACTAATTTTAAAACGGTATAACAAAACGCTAGTAATAACAATTTTTTTTATCAATGTTATAATTTAGATCAGAAAAACAAATTTCTTAGTTTTGATATTTTTATAAATAAATCTCGTGTACTATTTTTGACCGTTTAAATTAAATAATACAGTAAACACTATTCCCACTAAATATAGTTCTCCTACTACCTACATATGTTAATTATTTAAAAAAAATTAATGTCATTTGTTAATTTTAAATTATCCAATGAACTCAAATGAAGAAATGCGACACTCATTCGTAAGCTACACTGGCACTTTGAGAACCAACAATACCCGCCTTAAAAGAATAGAAAAGAAGATGAACCTATATTTTATGCAGGCGGTGTATGTTACGTTCCGTGAAAGCAGTATTTCAGTACACTCCAAAGCAGTACACTCCAATTCTGATGCTTTTGTTCATCAATTTGTTGTTCAATTGATGTTACATGACCTAAGGGACCATATCCATACAACCGAGATCCCGAACCGCTCGGGACTGTGCATGTTGAAGGATGCATGTTGTCGCCATCGCCTGCGATGGTTTGGCCGTGTGAAGCGAAACGACAACGATACAATAACTTCCGTTACTGGGCACCAGGTGCCTGGCACCCACCCAAGAGGTCGCCGAAAGAAGCCATGGACGCAGACCATACAGGAGGACTTGAAGGCACTTGGTCTCAAGGAGACAGACGCAATAGATAGATCGGCTTGGAGATAGAAGCAGATGAATAGAATAAAAAAATCCGACCCATAACGGATGGAGACTATAAACGAGGATTGATTGATTGTTAATTTTAAATTAACGAATTAACGCCACAGGGTAACTTAGATATAGACAAGGAGATGTTTATTGGTAGAGGTTTCGTTCTATTTATAGCGTTTATAGTATAGTGTTTCGTTCTATTTATGATATCAAAAAATAATGTTTATAATACCCGACCAGAACTGGCTGAATATAATGATCTCAAAATGAAAGTCCAAAAAAATTTAATTTAATTTAATTCAATTTAAGTTTATATAAATTACTATAATTTGAAAAAAATGTTGCAACTAACACATTTCAACAAAATAATAAAATAATACAAACGAGTCGTGAAATATCGTACACACACACACACACACTCACGCACACACACACAGCAGTGCAGTCAACTGTTAAACAAACATGAAACGTTTTTTTAATTTTTTTTCGCAACTAAGTTTAAATGTATATATTTAAATATATATATATGTATATATATATATATATATATATATATATATATATATATATGTGTGTGTGTGTGTGTGTGTGTGTGCGCGTGTGTGTAGTATTTGAAACTGACAAAATAGTTATAACCCTCAATTAGTATGATACTAATTTATGTCGCAAAATATAAATTTATAACAGTAGCAGTAGTGGTAGTAGTGGCAGTAGTTATAGTCTTAGTATTAGTAGTATAGTAGAAGTAGTAGCAGCAGCAACAGTAGTAGTAGTAGTAGTAGTAGAAGAAGAAGAAGTAGCTGTAGGTTTTAGTAGTAATGTAGCAGTAGGTACTACTAAAATTAGTAGTTGTAGTAGAAGTAACAGCAGTAATAGCGGTGGTAGCAGAAGTGTAATAACATCAGTTTGAATAATACTGAAAGAATAGGTTGAAGTTAGGAACGGATCCTACAACACTTTGTGACGCGAAAGAAAATTATTGTTAACCATCGCACAAACTTTATGTACAAGATAGATAAGGGGCCGTTCGAGTATTACGTAACACGAAAAAACGACTTTTTTGACCCCCTCCCCCCCTTCGTAACACTTCCGTAACAAACGACTTACTCCCCCCCCCACTGTTACGTAACAAAAAATATTTTTAATTTTTCGGTAATAAAAAACAATTGAATTTAGAGTAGAAGCAGAATTTTTTTTGATTTTTTTCCGTATGTACCACGCGGTCACGAAAATACAGTGTATTCGTCGTGTTTTTTTATCAGAATGTTCATAACTGCTAAGTTTCATGGATGAAAACGATAATTTTAAAGAAACATGATCATTAACCATTTATTAACATAGATTCTATAAAAACTACACTAACATTTGTGTTTTAGAATGAAAAATTAAATTTATTAATAATGAAAAATATAAAAAACATCATTTTTTTCTGTGTTACGTAACAATTTTTGAACCCCCCCCCTCCCCCCCGTAACACTCCGTAACAAAATCTTAGACCCCCCTCCCCCCCGTAACACTCCGTAACAAAATCTTAGACCCCCCTCCCCCCCGGAGCGTTACGTAATATTTGAACGGCCCCTAATTCGAACAACGTTAATTCCGTGGTTATTGCAAAATGAATACATTTCATATTTCAGAATTTACGTATGAGGCTATAGCATTAAATTTACAGCCCTGGCTCAGCTGCTAAACTAAGGAATAAATAACTTACCGTAATTTCCATGGTTATCTTTTATAACTTATAATGACATTTTTTAGAAAAAAATCAAAGCGAATTAAAATTTTTTATTCAATTGACTAATTAATTAAATATTTAATAAGCTTATTATTATTTTCACAAATTAATTACACTATTACTTATTAATTCATAAAAGTAATTGCTGAGGTCATCACGTTTCTAGCCAGCCATCATGCTAGTACGCTGTAAAAATTTGGAATTTCCACAGTTTATAAATAAACAATATTTCACAGATATATACAATTATTTATCGAACTTTTCTAAAATTTTGTAGTTAGCATGGTTTGTGGATCTGAAAATTTTGAATGACGTCTTTAAAGTTTGTGATGGCGCTTAGCTCACTTTAGCAAATGGCAAAACTTAGAAAATATTCTTGTTCAATGTAATTTGAACAATTTATTGAAATTTTAAATTTGTATTGAAATTTATAGTGAGTGTTAGTATTCTGTATTGTGTAACATACGGTATCCTCAAAATAAAATCCAGAATTTTTTAATATTTAACAATTGCTGCTTAATTATCGAAATATGATTTGGTGTATCAGTTTTTAGAGTAGAAATTTTGGTAACTATCAATAAAATAATGTAAAATTAATGATTGATCGATGAAATATATAAAACTGTTATTCTAGTAAGTTAAATTCATTGAAGAGTAATAAAGATCGGATTGCGACATTTGTAATTATTAGAAGCAAATAATTCAAAATAATGTACAACTTTCAGCACGGGTAGTTGGCTTTTTTCTAAAATGTGATATCAAACTTTTTATCAATAACATTTTCATTTATTTTACATTATTTTATTAATGGTTACCAAAATTTCTACTTTAAAAACTGATACGCCAAACCATAGTTCGATAAATAAGCAACAATTGTTAAATATTAAAAAGTTCTGGATTTTATTTTAAAGATACCGTATGTTACACAGTACAGAATACTAACATTCACTATGAATTTCAAAGTTTAAAATTTCAATAAATTGAACAAGTTACATATATATTTTAGTATATTATTTAAGTTTTGCCATTTGGTAAAGTGAGTTTATCGCCATCACAAATTTTTTATTTTGGCAAAACAAATTTTAAGAACAAGTTGTCATAAATTGTTTTAAATTATTGCAAGCGGAACGAAATTAAACAAAATAATTGTCAAACAGGATGAGTTGGTAATAATATTTAAATACCAATTCTACTCAGATAGAAATATCTTATTTCTAAGTAAAATTTTAGATCAGACTGCAAGTTTATTGAAATATTTCACCTGATATTTCGGGAAAAAATATTTGACGTTTGTTTATCTGCAAACTTAGTTAAATAGTACGATAGGTTATTGCCTATGCGTTGTAATCCCACGTGCGGGTGCGTTTGTAGGTAATTTTAATTAATTAATTAACAAATTAATTTTAAAATAAGAACAAAGCCGATATGCACAAATTTTATAATAAATAATTTCATTAATAGTTGTATAGATTAAATTTGGTGATTTCATTTATATATTTATTGATGCACAATATGTAGTAATATGTTATAAAATGTTGTGTTTTAATCCGGATCGAATGAATTTATTTCCATATTGGGGAATCCGTATAGCAAAAAATGATTGACACATCTCGCCAAGACAAATTAAGCCAGATTATCAGATATTTTTTATCAAAAACAAAAATATAGAGTTTGGGGTATCGATTTAAGGATTTTTCCTCTCGCTGGAAGCAAGGCCATTGCTACCACACAAAAGCGTACAAAAATTTGTTTGAAGATAATTTATTGAAACAATTCTCTAATAAATTTAACATAGTATAATTTACCTTTAATCAAGTTTTTACGATGATTATATTTTTATCAATAATAAATAAAGAATTTAATTGATATTAATCAATTGTAAATAAAGTAATAAACATTTATTCAACTCTAAATGGATCAATAAAACAACCACGATCCTGACGTAAAGTCCATGGTTACCAACTGACTAACCACGGAATTTACGAAAAATTGAAAGAT